TTTCATATAAAAAAGGGCAGTTGTTAAAAGTCTAAAGAAGTGTGTTTCCCTCAAGTTTAAAATGGCTTTTTAGATTAGAAAAACTAGGTAGTCATAACACTATCTGACTTTACTCTGGCATCCAAACTCCACACTAATAGGCCCTGAAATTAATTAGCTAACTGTTTTATGTGGAAATTTCAGAAAATTAAGAGGGATAATATGTGCATCAATATCAAGCCCACTACCAATCTGGACAAAATAAAAAATTCAAGCAAAAAAAAACTTAGAAAAAATTATAAACCAGTTCAATCCACTTCCTGTCAATTATTTATCATACCGACACCTTTTCTTATATTTCTGCCTGTTATTGCAGCTGATCTGATTCAATCAAATGGTAAACTCATTGCTCTTATCAGGTGTTTCCCCCCAGGCTTTAAAAACAATTCTTTTCAAAGCACTGATTAAAAAGAACAATCTGGACAGATAACTACAGCAGAATTACCTTCCATTCATCAGTAAAACTATTGAAAAAGCTGTTTTAACAGTAAAATGGCTTCCTAACAACAACAAAATGCTTTAATGTCCCTCAGTCCAGTTTCCATGAAGACAGAGTTTAATGAACTGTGGAAGAGCCACAATGTTGGTTCTGCTGGATGTCAGCACAGCATTTCACACTGTTGACTGAAGTGACTGGAGAGCTGGGTAAAACTGATTGGTGCAGTATTTGACTGATGTGAATCTTACATAAAGAACAGCATTTCTTTGTGTCAATAGGTAACTTATCATCGGACAGAAATCACATGTGACACATCTTACTCAATATCGACATGATCCCACTAACTCAGGTTATTACAAGTAAAGAAAAACAATCGAGTCAGTGCTGAACTTCAGACACTACCGCTAGAAACTACTACTGAACACCCCAAAGACTTTGTGTAGTGATGGACTCTGACCTGCATCTTCAGAGACACACAAACAGTCAAGACAGCTGCAGCTGATCCAGAAAGATGTTGCTCGCATTCTCACTAAAACCAGGAAGATAGAGAACATCACACCAGTTCTAAAATCCTTACATTGGAGCTCAGAGAATAGATTTTAAAATACTTCTGCTTATATATTACTGAACAGATTAACACCAGAAATATATTAAAAACCTGCTGTTGTTGTATCAACCTACCAGACCACTGAGGTCTTTTGGTTCTGGTCTGAACTCAAGTTCAAAAACGACACAACAATGGAATTCATAAGTAGAAACCTGATTATTTGAGTCATAGGTCATTTCTGCACCTCCTAAGTACCTTCTTTTCCAGATGCATGACAGACAGACTGGTAAAGGTGTAGTGATATGGCACTAAAAACCTCAGGAACACTTACTCTTTTAACTGCCAATGTAGCAATCCCCAACAGAGCAGCTCCTCCGACTCCCAGAACCAGCCGAGCATTGGACAGCAGGAAGTCAATCACCATTGCAACGCCATCTTCTCCTCTCCTTCGACTGCCCTGGAAGTTCATGGCTTGTTTTCTATGACTAGAAAAAAAAAACAGAAACATGGGACATTAGCTGCCAGAATAGAACAGTTACATTTCTATTAATCAATAATTCTTTATTTCTAACACAAGAATGGTCCATAGTACAAAGAAATAAAAACAAACACATACAAATAATAAATATGATATGTTCTATATTGTTCACTAAGTTTTAGATAAATAATGACGCCAGTCTTTCCCCAATTTTGGGGTAAATCAGCCTGATCTCAGTAGCACACATCCATACAGCTTTATTTACAGCAGTATCAGGGTCATGGTAGACCACAACACTGTATGAACAAAGTATCACCTGTATACATCAGGTGATTTATTTTGTGGTCACCAGCTACACAGCCTGTTAGGCATAATTTAAACAGCTTAGACTTTTCATACACATAGATGTTAAAGAGGTAAGGTCAAGTCTTAGTTCAGGAATGCAAAATTCTGTAAGCTTGACAATTAGGTGCATTAAAAAAACCTATATAGTCCACAAAGGGCTAAAGAAGGATACTGATCCAACGTTGTCTGGAAATAAATAATTGAGGAATGCTCTTTGATTAATGTTGGATAAAAAAAACCCCACAAGAACCAATACATATTCAATTGTGCCCAGTCTTAGTTTTGGCTTCTGGCTTGAAATATTCATTAAACAGAATTGCTTTTTTTTTTCTGAGATAGAATACAGCTGCATAAAGTGATATCATTCTTACTGTAATTTATCAGAGTGCTGCTTCATTACACACTTTGATCAAACCAAAAAGAAGTCACCCATGTCAAACCTTTTGATTTACCAAAAGGTACATACAACCAGTGATATTAGACTGCATTGTTATACAACCTAATATCATAGTTTTAGGACTGATAATTTAGTTTAAAAACGCGTTTAATCAATTACTGACCTCATCTTTGTGGACATACAAGTGTTAAATAATCTGGTATAAATGTCAGAAACGTAAATAAAACTGAAAAACAAACAAAAAAACAAGTATGAAGAAATTGAGACGGCCCACACATCCACGAAAAGCTAGAAGCATTATTTTGGATTATGAAGTACGTGGCCTCTATTTCGGTCAGAAGTACAGAGTGCATGCTCTATTTATAAAGCTCAACGTTGCCTAGGTCACACTAAGCTGAGTTAAATGTATGTAACCATCTTTCTAATGAGGTTTTAGTCTCTGCAACGACATATTTCAAAATAGAGTTCATATTTCAATTTCACATTGTTACAAGGCTTGAGGTCAAACTGCACCAGAGAATAAAAAGTAACAGTAACAGATGTATTGTTTTGCAGACAAACACCAAAACATTTTCAAAAGGCAACGAAGAGCAAAAATTTATTTTACTTTATGACATGTCCTGTCACTCTGGATATGAGTAACATTTCCTGGCTCTAAAATTACAGAGATATTTTACAGTTTAATCCCCATTTCAAATAATAACGACTACCACTTCTGATAGCGAGTTTCGCTAGTTAGCTACGTCAGCTCTAAATGACAACCAAGTCACATAAGGCATTTAAAATACTCACCACTTATCGCAGAGAGCTGTGCGCTCCTCAAACCATGAATGTTTGGTGTTCAAAAAAACGCAGTTCGCTACTTTTTACAAAAAAATACAAAGTTATTTTATGGACTGTCATAGCCGTTACGCTAACAGCTGTTTGCTTTGACTTCTTCTTGTGTTCAATTCACTTAGTTTGTGGAAACTCAGCAGCCAACTCTAGTGGTCAACCAATAGTATTACAGTGAGCCGTAAGAACTTTATATCGCAAACGAGCGTAAACGAGACTTACTAATCACATTTCTCAAATTTTAACTGTCAATTTCTAATTTTCAGATCAAACTGAAAAATTGGATTTTTTTTCCTGTGGAACAAGCTTTAAATTTTGTGTCCATAAAACAGAAACCATGTCTAGCTTTAAGACTAGTCAACTATCCTTGATGACACTGGCTCCTGGTACCTTATTCTGAGCTGTTTATCAGGGTAGAACAAGACTGCTTATGGTTTTTCTCTCTGCTTTTTTTCTGATACTCTCCATTCGTAAAATATTTCTAGATGTTTCTAATAGTGTAGCAAGATACACCTTGCCCTTTGTTTCTTTTCTGGATTGGAGGGCCCTTTTAATGTTCCAGGTTAATAAAAATGGCCTCCAATTGTGGAGATTGTACTTTATCAATTCCAGAGGACTTCAAAGCACTTCACACTACATTCAGTCATCCACCCACTCAAATGCTGGTGGCAGCAAGATACTGGATAACTGCCACAGCTGCCCTGGGGCAGTCTGACAAAAGCGAGGCTACCATGAACCAGCCCCTCTAATCACTGCCAGGAGGCCAGGAGAGAGAAGTATCTAGGATCCTGTCTAAGATACAAGCCATCTTGGACAAAAATGTCTCATGCACTTCACAACGTGCTGTCCAGATGAGGGAACATCTTCAGCCAGCGGCTTGTTTTTGTGTCACACCACAGAGCGACACAAAAAATCGTTCCTGCCTCTAGCCATAAGACTCTACAAAGCCCAAATCTGAGTAATTTTAATCAAAATTTATCTGCACTTAATAGATAATTTATAAATTAACATATTTACATATGCCTGCTTGTCATTTATTTATTTGCATTCAGTCACATGGAATTATTGCATCACTCTTCAGTATACATACATTTAATAAGCATAATCTCTTGTGATTATATTTGTATCATTAATATTTAATATACTATAGCTTGTTAATGAATAAGCATTTTTTTTCTTAGGAATCAATAAAGTATTCTATTCTATTCTATTCTACTTTGTCCAATGACACAATGACCTAGATGGACAGAACAAGAACTGAACACTGAACTGATTGAGGAACGAACTCCAACTATTGTTTCTCTTAAATGATAGCCAGTTGCAGCAGATCCTATAGAAGAAACAAAAAATGTCATTTCCATTATTAAAATTTAAAACATTCCACTTAGCTAAACATTTAAAGCTGAGTCAAAGTTACACTCAGAAATTACAGCAAACTCCTTCAATACACAAAAAAGAAAAAAAGAAAGTTAAAACAATTCTGGCTCCTAATTGATTCAAAGATCCCATACTGGAGTTTCAACATAGAACAAGCCAGAGATACATTAACATTGATATACAAATGTCTTGTATACACAAGACATTTGTGTATACACTCCTCCATTTTTGGCTTTTTATCCCATGCTTGGTTTGTGAGGAAAATCTTCAACTAAATTCTGAAGTGCAGCAGAGCTTCACCATTCTATTTTTAGAAAGCAATTTAACCAGTGACCTGAGATTATTTTTATTTATGCGTAACTCTAGACAAACCTAGTCGGTGGCTAAGGAACACCTTTCCCAAATACGAGTATCAGTAATAAACAGATGTTTGTTTAAACAGCAAGCTGCAAGTGAGTTTGTGAAAATGTAATTTCTTCATCAATATGTTTTCAGACAGGAAACATACAAATAACATACCAAGTAAAATTCAAACGTCCCAAAATGAGGAAAAAGTAATTTTATTAAGGAACAGGAATGACATGGTTCATGTCAAATGACACAGCAACCTTATACTGAGACAGGACAGTGAAACGTGGCAGCCTTCCATGAAGCATCGGTTTTGCTCCTGCACCACTTCCACTAAATGGCAAGACGGAGTTGCCTGTTGCTCAAACCTAAACTGCAATCTGAACAAAAAGTGAAGATCTGACATTGCAAACTGACAGAAGTAAAAGATTTGAAATTTAAATGGCGAGAACACAAAAATAAAGAATCAGTCTTCATGAAAGCCCTGCAAGTAAAGACTGTACAGTAATGTATTGTACATTATGAAGTTAGATTACAGACTGGGATTCTTTTGTACAAGATCATACGTACATGTTCTTTTCAATTCTCAAGGTAGAAAAAATACATGCCTTTTCTGCTCCTCTATTAACATAAAGAAATGTTTAATTTAAACTAAATAAACTGTTTAACAACAGACTTTTACTGTAGTGAGTAAGTTATGGTCTATTACAGCAGCAGAAAAGCTAGTACACTCAAGCTTTTCTTGACTCAAATCAAAACTGAAACCTAATGGTTGTTCTTGAACCAGAACACACTGGACCGTTAAAATAATAACTGATCAAATAAGGTTACAATACTGACATACATAAAGGAGTAGGGATATTTTATTATGTGAATGTGCCTGTCAAAGAGGCGGTCAGTGGCGCCTCATTTTGACTTTGCGCCCTGAGCTCTCATGGTCTTCTTCACGTCTCCGGTAGTTCTCTGAGCTGGCACTATGGTGACGGTGGTGGGACAGCGAAGGATGTCTATTCTCCTCTTTATCCATCTCCAGAACCCTTGGCCTGGTTTGCAGGGGGGAAAAAAGTCACATGTTAATCTACTTTTATATGTCTAGAGCAGTGATTCTTAACCTGGGTTGGATCGAACCCCCTGGGGTTCGAGGAGTCGGTCTCAGGGGTTTGGCGGAGCCTCTGTTGCAGAGGTAAAGACACATTTTCAAGTCGTGATGACACACCCTGCTTGGCCATCACTTGCTTCAGAAGGTCATGTGACATCGCTTGGCTAATCAGTGCTGCGGGGAATTTAGTGCGCGCAGTAGTCAATGGCTGTCGTAGATGTACGTTGTGGAGTTTCTTTCTCAATATTTTAATCCAAACTAAACATGTCGAGCAAAAAAAAAAGTGGTCAGACGAATATGTACAAGGGTTCGCACGCATCACGGAACAGGATGGGAGTCAGCGTCCCATCTGCATGAAATGCAATGCCAAGGTGAGCAACTCTAGTCTCGCACTGGCAAAACTACACCTGGAACACTTCTTTAAGCTAGATGAAGATGGGGAAAAGTAAAAAAGTATTTTGTGGACTCAAAACAACAAAAAAATAAAATTTCAAAAATAAATAAATAAATATGTTATTAAAAAATGTTAAATTCTTAAAACAAAAAATCCAAATTTATTGTTAATTAGTAAAATAGCAAAAAAAAAAAAAATAATAAAAAAATAAAGTTTTTGGGGGCTGAAATTTTTTTATGGGGCCTAAATATTGTTTTGGGGCCAGAATAAAGTAATACCGTAATTTGTTGTCAGTTGATGTAAGTTTTGTTCTTTGAGCAAGGTGATGTTCATGCATGACTCATTTTGTGCACCAGTAAAAAAAAAAAAAAAACATATACCTGTCTTGAATTTGGAAAAAAACCCATCATTTTATTTATCACTAAAGAAGGGTTCAGTGAATGAGCATATGAAACTGGTAGGTTCGGAACCTCAAAAAAGATCTGGTCTAGAGAAACACTTTAAGTCATCCACAGGACAGTTCAATATAGTATCTTAAATGATTATACATTTAGAATACCGGTATGTAATAAAAGGTTTATATATGCACTTTAAAAATATTGAAAGAAATTACCCATTTTTAGTCAACTACAAGTTATGAATCAGATACTATTCAAATGCTTTCTTTGATTCTACAGAAAATCACTTGATTAGTGCTGTGGTCTCAGGAAACTGAACCAAACATTTTTCATACAAATGTAGAAAAACCTAGTCCATGATTCAACAAGGTGGTGGATTGCTTTTTAACACAGGGGCAAATTAGTTTGGATAACTTGTTTCCTTTAAAGGACATCTTTAACAAACTTATTTTGTACTCAGGTTTAGAACACCTCCCCTACTGCACAGGTACAAAGCTATCCGTGAAACAAAACCAGGGTGTTTAACACCACCAAATAAGTTTTTTTCTCACCCATTTAAAATCTGGAGTCTACTCCAACAATCATTCAGTATGACTGGACTGTATGCATTGCATTTGTATGAATAATTGAAACAAACTTTACAGGAATGTGTTTATATGGATTATAGCCTTCCCAAAAAAAAAATAAAATAAAAAAATAAATAAATAAATAAATAAATAAATAAATCAAAAATAGTGGTTTTAAAGAAAACTGTTACTTTTTATCTTTGCACTTTTGGTCACTTGTGACACTTTGTTTTGGCCATAAAAAAACAAAAACAAAAAACAATTTGCACAAACCCAAACTGATAACTTATGATTTTTAATAATTTTCTATTGTCTTTCACTGTGTAGAATAAAGACATGCGACTATTTAAATAATAAATCATATCTACCAGTAGACCACTCAGTTCTTCTGATTTGATCTGGAGTCAATCTCAACATTTCACAAGAGTCAACTCAGCCAAATGGTTAAAATATCAAGTAATGAAAATACAGTTCATGATAAGATTCTTAAAAATGCCTTACATTTATTATTATTTTTTATTTATTTGTTTATCTCTACATTTGATCAAATCTACTCATCACAAATAATCACTAATACAGTTACCAACGATTATAGACCTGTTGCCCTGACAACCCATAAAATGAAGGAGAGACTCCTGCTGGCCCATCTCAGTAAGCAGACTAGCACATACCAAGACCCCCTTGATATGTGCTTGACTGCTTTGAGTCGGAGACGCCGTCATACACCTGCTTCAACAAACCCCTGCTTCAACATCTGCACTGTGAGTATCATGTTCTTTGATTTTTCTAGAACATTTATCACAATTCAGCCTGATCTGCTTTATCAAACTCCAGAAGACACAGGTGGAGGCCTCAACAATCACATTCGTTGAATCACAACAGACTCTGCAGCTGGTGGGTGATTAAGAAATGGACAAGAGGCAAAGTACAGAGATCTGGTGGACTCCTTTGTGTCATGGTGTGAACAATCATCTCATCTTAAATGTAAACAAAACAAAGGAGATTATTGTCGATTTCAGTAGGAACAAGATTAGATCAAATCCTATTTCCATCATGGAAGAAGAAGTGGAGGTAGTTGAGGAATATAAATACCCCGGTTTTCAGCTGGACAACAGACTGGACTGGAGATGAAACAGTGAACTGTCTATAATAACGGACAGAGCAGACTGGACTTCCTGAGGAAGCTAAGATCCTTCAAGGTTTACAGCAAGATGCTGCAGATCTTCTAACAGTCTGTTGTTGAGAGTATCATCCCTGCTGCTGTCAAATGTTGGAGCAGCAACATCAGAGCCAGAAACATAAAAAGGTTCAACAACCTGATAAAGAAGACTGGTTCCGTTCTGGAACCACTATGGAGATGATGATGGAAAGATGGGTTCTTCATGAAATCAAGGAAATTATGGACAACCCTGACCATCCTCTACATGAGACTGTCTCGGGTAAATAGTGTTTTCAGTCAGAGGCTTCTTCAGATTTGCCACTTCAAGACATCTTTCCCACCTACAACCACCACTATCAGGGATTGGCAACCCGCGGCTCCGGAGCCGCATGCGGCTCTTTAGCGCTGCCCTAGTGGCTCTTTGGAGCTTCATCAAAAATGTTTGAAAATGGGAAAAGATGGGGCTGGGAAATATATTTTTTGTTTTATTATGGTTTCTGTAGGAGGACAAACACGACACAATCATTCTTAACGTTTTCCAATGCTATAAAAATGTGTAGAAGAAACAATTCTACAATTCTTGGACCGAATCATCTGCATTCGTTGCCAGTGTGGAAGAATTGCCTGAATGTTCGCTCTGCAGCGACAACTAAAAGAGTACCGTACTTTCCGGAGCGCACCTCAATGAAAGCCGAAACTACAAATTTTTGGAAAAAAATAAAAAACTGAAAACATACATAAATAAGCGATACAGTAATTTTCATCAGTAGCCTATACATTTAGAATGACACTTAGAGATATTATTTTGTGTCGTTGCTCAGGTCGGGTTGCTCATGGCTGCTTTGTGTTACTGTTGCACTTACTTGCTTGGCATTTGAACAGAAATTGAACTCAAACTCTTAATTTTAAATACTTTACGATTTCAAAAGGCTGCCGTTTTATTACTCTGTTTGTTGTTTTTTGATCACACACTTAACGGTGATTATTTACAAAGAGCGATCGTCGTTATGAAAACTGCATTTCGGGGGCAGATTTTCCGTGTTCCAAAAACGGAAAAAAATGACACTTTTCCTGTCGCTCTTCATAATAAAAATGATATCAAAAATCTGATTTCTATATTGCGTTTCTTTAATTTTGTAAATGCATTCATATTGTAACAGAAGGTTAACATAAAGCACCATCGTACAACAGAAGAGTCATGTGTTGCGTCATTCCTTCCAGGACGCATTGCAGGGAAAATAAATATTTAATCATGAATACTAATTATGTATACACTTAGTCATTTTGATAATACGCTAATATAAACACCTAGAGTGTGTTTTGCCTTATATACATAAGGCTTTTATATAACGCTTTTACTTTTACTTATATAAGGCTTTTACTTTTTTTGCGGCTCCAAACAGATTTGTTTTTCGTTTTTTGGGTCCAATATGGCTTTTTCAACATGTTGGGTTGCCAACCTCTGACCACTATCTGCCGCAGCGCTTTACTTAAATGAGTTGCACTGATATTTAATTTCCCTTTGGGATCAGTAAATTATTGTTCAGTTGAATTTGAATTGAAGAACATGGATAACAAAACTGCACATTTCAAAGGTCTTTAACAGGGTAGAAATTTGCAAACTATTTTCATCCTTGCAGTCCTTCATAGAGATCATCTAGATAAGTGGGTATAAATACCTGTGAGCTGCATCCGGATCTGCTTTTCGATGAGAGCGTTTGGCTTTTAGAGGGGCAGGTCTCAGGGCAGCAGTCGAACTTAAAGGGCTGTCTGTGTCCAGACGAGGTGCATCAGGTTTAGTTCTGATAAGAGACAAAGCTCTGAATGGAAGCCCATTTGACCCGAGCAAATGTTGCCTTTTAAACAATAGTGAATCCCAACTCACTTTCTGAGGATGATTACAGCACGTCTCTCCTTGATGTCCTGAGGTCTGATGCAATGAGTAATGTCATCAGCAGCATAGCCACTGCCAATGAAATAGAAACATTTTTGTTGTTGCTCTGATCAACAACCATGGAAAAGTATCAATACATACATACATATCAATACATTTATTTTCCACATTGTCACATTACAATCTCAAACACCATTTTATTTTAGTAGGGTTAAAAATTCAAAGAAGAAAATATGAATCTAACAAATTAGAATATTATTGAACAATACACAATAACTACTGACTGATGGTATGTCTCTTGCAACATTTCTCATAGAGACTGAAAGTTCTGTAGCTTCCCCTTCAAATTCCTGTTCAATTCTGTGTGAAAAAAATTCTGGCTTCCAGCACAATCTGGGTTTTCTCCCATTCACCCCGATTGTCTCGTATGTAGCCGATTTTCTACTAAATCAACCAGAAAATAGAAGGGGAAGTTGTGAATTATGACGTTGATTTTCTGCGCTGTTCTAGAATTAGATCCTTCCTGTAGTTTAGAAATTGCAGCGGAGGAAGTAAATGAAGCTGTTCAAGTCCGTGTCCACCACACTTCCAAATTTTAAAATAACATTAACAGCCGTCTCGTTTGGATCAGCTCTTCTGTATTTTCATTGAAAGAGGGATTTTTACAGCGTAGAAAATTTCTGGTAAGGGACATGACATGCATCATGAGCAAATGTTAGCAATTGGGTAAAATTTTAAACTTCAGCACAGTCCATGTCTCCAGGAAGCAATCGTTTCCCAATATTGAGCCCAGACCTTCAGAATGAAACAAGGGGCTGGTGTTCACCAGGCTAAAAGTTGTGGCTTTCCTTTCTTTTGTCTTGAGGAAGACATGATCCAAACGCATTGAGAGAGGTTCTTAACTCTCCTGTTTGTCTAAGTCCTTAATTATGTTGAGGCTTCATTTACTTCTTTCATCATATTAAGTGTCTGACAACCATGAACACTAAGGTTAAACCATGCTCCTTCATATTATAGTATGGAGATGGTGTAAATACAATAACACCATGGTGACACATTCATTCGAATGCGTGGTTTTCAAGGCTTGTCATCTTCATCTTACTCCTCTGTGGTTCCTGTAAGGTTGGATGGACCAGTTCTCCGCTGATGACATCTTTAATAAACTTTGGAATAAAAAGATAATTGTATTGCTGCTATCAAACTACAAAATGGCACCATGCCACCCTCTATGAAGTGTTCACTCAATTGAAGTGCACACAAGTGCGCAGGTTGTAAGCATGCAAAAATTTCAGAATTGGGACGATAAGCCCCTGTGTCACAACTTTGACATCCAAACTGGCAGAACTGGTCACTGTTTAGCACTTGTGCTAAATCAAATATGAGATCATTTTACTTATAGAACTTCTTTCCAACAATTTGTGTCCATCCCTAAATCTATCTCTGACATATCCCATGATATCACAGTATCCATTTTTGTTGTTGTTGTGTAACACAACAACAAAACAAATCGATTTTAAATGTACAGAGTAAGTATTTTTCTTTTCCAAAATCATTGCTGGAGATATTTGAATGTTCAGATGTGTTTGGTTATGACTTGTTGAATACAGAGCAAAATTTGATGTATTCACAAATGTTCGATATAGAATTTCAGCACTTAACATTAGCCAAGATGGCAAAAAAAAAAAAAAAAAAAAAAAAAAAAAAAATACACATTAAAATAAACTAATAATGAATTTCAAGTAAAAAATACGATTATATAATAAGCTACTCAAAAATAAAAAAACATTTATTTTATGCAGCTAAAGGTTAGTTTGGTATAAAGTGGAGCTAATGTGAAAACAAAGATCAAGTTAAGGACAAACATATGGCACATATATAAAAACATTGAAGAATGGCCTGATGCTACATTGTGAAAAATAAAGACTAATGGGATTAAACTGTCCATCTTAAAAGAAACTATGAATGTTGTGACTTTATAGACCAAAAATGTCAAAAGAAATTAATCAATTTTCTTCCCCTCCACTCTGAGAATAAAACATTTGTTTGAAAATCGTAATATTTCTAAAGAAAATAAAAATCAAATAGGTTCCTATTCTGCTCCCACAAAAAAAGAAGACATTAATTCCATAATTATGTATGAAGGTTTCCCTGTACTGACTTTCTGCAGAAGAAATTCAACACCTAAAATCTCAATGAAATACATAATCTGTGATTCTAAGGGGACAAAAATGAAAAACACACACAATACATGAAGACATCTGATAAATGAGGTGAGCATGCTCACCTCAGTACTGTGACGCTCCCTCTCCTCACAGGCAGGACAAACACCGGCTCTGACACCCGGATGGGTTTGAATTGAAAGCGACAGCCAAAGCACAGCGCGCTGTCACTGAAGAAGGACACAGAAACAATAGGCCGTGCAAAGATGTGCAGGGGATCGACGTGGGACACTATGCATCCACCTGGCTGATAATCATTGATGACGGCACTGTTGACGAAACCCTCGGGGATCACCCCGTTGGACACCAGCCGCTTGATCACCAGCTCATGAACCCAGTTCGGGATTTCGTCTACCTCTCCTTTGCGGTACAGCCGCTCTTGACCCGGTCCGCGCCTCTCCAGCTGAGCTCCGTACGTGTACCCTTCCCCAAAGAAGTACTTGTTCCGGAGGGGCGCTCTATCCACTGTGTGCTCCCGATACAGTCCAGACTCTGCTTTGGCCACTACTTCATCGATCTTCTCCTCGATGCGGGCGCACTCCTCCGGGGTGAAGATGCTCAGCTGTACGACACTGCTCCTGACCCTGCGGGCTTCTTGCTCTCGGAGGTCAGAACTATCGTCGCTGTGCTCGTATTCATCGTCGTCCGATTCTCGATACTTCCGCTTTCGACCCTTCCCGCTGCCGTTACTCGCTTGGTATTTGTTCTCGTAGTCGTCCCGGTGTGGAGTCATGGACTTTAGCTTCTCTCTCAGGTCAGAGAATCCGCTGGCTGCCATGTCGCCCAAAACAATGACCGCCGCGTTGCAAAAATAAAGGATCCTAATTACACACACAAAAAAAACTAGCCTCAATGCTGCATTTCAGCACAATTTTACAACAGTTTGTTTGTTATGGACAAACTAGACCTGAATAAAATTACAAGAGTCAATTAACTCGCATAGCAACAACAAGCGCACAAAAGTAGCTCATGTTAGCTATGGCTCCTAGCTCAGTCTTTGCTTTGAAGCGTTACTCTTTAGTAACTATTCTTTTACATTTCATATATTCCGTATTTCAGAAATGAACGAAAAAGTTAAATACTGCGTCATCACCACTGAGTCCAGCTAAGGCAGAGAAGAGGCTAACGGTGTTAGCTGATAGCTTGTTAGCCCGGCTAGCCTGGCTTCACCAGTCCGTCGCCGCCTGGAAATACTGACAAGACACGCAGCGACATGTCACCACCGAAATTTCCAATTTGTATATTTTTGAGCTTCTTCCAATGACACTTGAAATAAGTGGAGCCAGAAACTATATTGTTAAATGAGCACAAAGCTAAATATGCCTTCTCTGTCAGTCTCCAAGTACAAGCCTGAAAATAAACTCGTGTAACCCGAGGAGGGTTTGCGCATGCTCATTGTAGATTTGTGGGAGGGACTCCCGGGGTTCCAAATTCAATGTTGCTAATTTTGTCCCGCTTATGAGTCACCAATACAGTTGACTTAGAAAATAAAGTTAGCTTTTGTTTCTGGTTTATTAATTGTACGAATCTGTCTAAAAAAATTGCAAAGGATGTTATGCTACAAAACATCTTTAGGGTGAAGCACATTTTCATGAATATGTGAAGAAATATTCAAATAGTCAGAGTTCTTTGTCCTTTTATGCCAATTTTTAGAATAAGTGCAAAAGTTCAAACTTAACTGAAGTCAGAAATTTGTGGAGTGGTCGCTGGTCTAGACTGAAAAATTGCCTTTTGCAATGGTCCAAGCCAGAGTTCCCTACTTTATTTTCAAAGAGAGTTTTGTAGAAATAGGCGTTCATGCTCAAAGAACAGGGAATCATTACAAAAATAAATCACCACAATAGCAGCAGAATGGTTGACCAATGGAATCATAGGATGGATGGCTGATTGATGAATCAATATTGAACATCTAAAAGTTCCATCAGTCTGTCCAGACATGGTTTATTTATTTAGTTATTCAGTAAGTACAGGAACAGTTTAGAAATTTCAGTTTACAATAGTTTACAGATAGATATACAAAACAAATATAAGCATCTCAATATGCTTTTGAGATTTTTAATATCTCCCCCAGTCTTTTTGTGTTATTTCGAAAATTAAAACAAAGCCCAGCAGGAAGAAAGTAACCATGTCAAAAATTTTATTTGCTCTTTCACTACTTTATTGTCATCCTGGGAGAGGTGGCTGAAGTGTCACAATTTCCATCTTGAAGTAGGTGTAAAAGAAACAAAGCTTCTTTTCTGTGTTTTATGAAATATGAAGATTATACAATTCACTTCACAACATAACGGGGCAAATGGGTTGCATCCTGAAAACACACAATATCACCAAAATATTTTTTTCAATTATTATTTCAACACTGAATCAACAAAAATCTTTTTTTATATTTTTTTACTCAATGTTGTAGCTACATGCCTACAAATATCATTAATCTGCTTCATAATCTTGGAAAGCATATGCAAGTCTTTGATGTTCTTTTATGTACATTTAGCTATAATATTAAAAAAACAAATTATAAAATTTTATTACACAAGACTGTATTAGCAAATGTGTTCTTTTCTTCATACTGCAACAAAGTGAGGCTTTGCCACCGATCATCAGAAAATTTAAACTCCTTAGTGTCACAGCAGTAACTGAATCTTGCATAACAGCTATGAGCTCAACACTGTTAATATAAGTTTTGCGTGTAAAACAGCAGATTTACATCATGGTAAATAATATTAAAAATGTGGCAATAAAATTATTCAAATTGTATAAACCCAACTCCTTCTGAAGACATAAAACTCTCCTCAGCTGTTTTGGTATTGGCTGACTTCCTCTCGGATAACAGACTCCAGCTGCTAGAAACTGTGTTGAAGCTATCTGAAGTGAAGAAAGACGGGTTCTCCTAAATTATCATGTTGCCAAACCAATCTGCTGGAACTGTGGGAGAATAGTTAGAGCTTCTATGTGATAACTCTGAGATATGGTTTAGTCATGCTACATTTTTCTGTAAAAAATGTAAATAACAATAGAGCAAAATCATTCATTAGATTTAATGAGCAAGTCAGTGGGTCTATTCCTGCTTTTATTTTTTTCTGAAAAAATATTTGTTTTACAAAATATATTAACTCTTTTATCTCTAAATCATTACCAATCATACAAATAACTTAAATGCATAAAACTGATTAACTATAAAACATTTAAAGATGCCAAAGATATCTGTTGAAAATACAACAGTGAATATATCTACAAATTCTCACAAAGAATAAGAAGGAGGATCCAAATTTATCACTCAATTGTGTTTTTCTGTAACTTCAGAGAAATAATCCAGTAAAAACTGGAATGACTTCCTGATATTTCCCATGTCACTGAAGGAGATCTCTGAAGGAGAGCGGAGGTAGCTACATGTACATATGCAGAAACTTTGTGGATACGGTAATATGAAACATGTGCACACATCACAGCATGGTGATTTCGCTGGGTGGCAGAGTGAGCCTCTTTTCTCTCACAGACATCATATTTTCAACCTGCATGGCAATGACTCGACACAGCTCCAGACCCTGTGGAGAAAACCAGCCAGCCTTGTAGCACCAAGTATCAAACACCAGAATTTACCAAATCCACTGTCTGCTACCACACCTGCTCCAGCTGCAGCTGAATGACCCGCTGTGTGTTCATATCCCCCACAGTTATATCCACATACGGATAGCTGGTTCCAGCACCGGGCCTCTGGGTGCGACTGCCCTGCACCTCCACAAGGGGGACGGCTACCATCAGCTCCTGCAGAACAGATATCAGACTTTACTCTGACAAGAGAGGACAACTTTTCTCCCAGGCTCATGTAAATGATGCCATGAGCCAATCACACACTGATAAATGTGTGTGTGGTTCTTACATGTGTGTTTTTGTGCAGAAAGTGGAGACCACGTGGGTTAACAGCTAGAATGCAAGGAGCATAGAAGGTGGTAGAGCTGCTGCTGTGGATGTAGAAGAACGAGGAACCAAACATGGGGAACGCACTGATCAGGCCTGCATGGACAGACAGAAAGCAACAAAAGGGAACAGAATCATTATTATTATCTTACGTACTTTATAATTAAAGTTGATGAAGATTTTGTTTGTCTAAACCACTTTAGGACCACAAGGCCAACTTTTATCCATGTAGGTTCAATTGATGGATATAAAAAACTTCTATGAGACTCAAATGTAAAAAGAAACTTTGTTCAGGCCTAAGATATGCACAACAATAAAACTACTAAAACCATGTGGCTCTGTCCTCCTGTGCTGCACCGCCTTCCCTCTACTGAGATTACTCTTTACTTTTGTTTCCAATCCTCCCAAGTTGGGAGGATTTTTATTGTTGGACTTTTCAACAATAACACTACCCTTTAGAGCAATTTTATTCACAGGATTACTTTACCAAGTCAACAGAAATATTATAAAATTATTTTTAGTTAAATTTTAGCCAAACATTGATTTGTTTGGCTAAAATAACTACTATAACAAAGTAAGTTTAAACATAAAAATAAATACTGATGTTAAGTTTGCGTTTGAGTTTTTCTTTACAGGCTTGCTGTGGTTAGTAAAATTGAAGTCAGCTGTCCAAAAAAAAATGTGTTTAGTCATTTATAACTTATAAATATTTCATATTTAAGCTATGTGAAAGCATTATGGTTTTATTTATATTTTTGCATTTTCTTCTCTTGAAAAGGGATCTTACCAAGAAACTGTGACCTAGCCTGATGCGCACTCAGGGGCTGCACTTGCTGCATGTGCTGCGTTGCCATGGTAACCCACTGCTGTGGGGGCTGCTTTTTGAAGAGAGGTGCGGCAATGTACTCTGATAGCTCGTGTCTGGAAGACAAAGGACAAAAAAACGTCAGATAAACGAAAGCTGCTTCGCTCTGTGGCTTCTGACATTTCTCAAAAACTGTTTTATGCAACTCAATGAGCTGCTTTGTGTTTTGCTCTGTGACAAAATATACAACTTTTTTATAGTCGACAGTGCGTGAAAAAAAAAACATCCAGTTGAATCACAACAGCTCAGCCCATTTAGGCTACTGAACTCCTCCAAGTACATTAAAGTCACAATCTTTCGCTTTAAATTATTCACAAACAAACAAGAAGAAACTTCAATATTTCGGAGACTCAAAAAGACTTTAGAAAGGGACTATGTCCATAACCAAAAGATTATACTAAACATTTAAAAAGTACTTTTGGGATGTTTGGAAATAAGTCTTATTGCTCACATGCTGGGAGTATAGATGTTGTCCTTTGCTCTATGCTGCAAAGCAGCCAGCTTTGACATTTGGTGGAACTGTTGATCGCTCACTTTTCCATGTGAGAGAATATTTAGCAGGCCTTTTCGGTAGTCTGGAAGGATCTGAAAAATATTCACAAAACTTGAGTTGCATACATAACAACAAATGACCAAATATATGCATGGAGTGGGAGAAAATGATTTTTAGTACCTGGTTATACTGCATGGCCACACTCAGCTCATTCTCGAACCTGAGCGACTGAGTCCAGACAACTCGCCGGAACCACAGACTGTAGCCTGAGTCGACTGACTCTGCCTCTGTGGCAACGTCCAGGATGTACTCATTCTTGTTCAGAGGTCGAACACTCTGACCTGAGCTCACCCAATTACACAGAAATTGATTTGTTATTTCATGTATTTTTGGATATTTACTGCAGTAGGAATTTCTCAATTTCTCAGAAACCAACAGAACCATCAGACTGAGCTGTCCCTAACAAAACAGTGTCATCCATCTGTGGTCTCATGGAGGAATCCAGAATTTCAGCATGATAGGTTGTTATAGAAATAAATATACTAAAAACTTAGAAAAAATTAGAATAGAAAGCAATGCAAGTTACAAACAAAATTTAGCTTTGTGCATGCTTTATATATATTCTATGTCATGAATCATACAAAGATTCAGCATACAAAGAGTTTGCATAATAATACTTCCAATTAATTCATTTTTATTAAAACATGCTCCATTCTTGTCAGGTTAGCGATACAGTGAGCAGATCTGTATGGTGGTGAACTAGGTAAGAGTGAATGAGATTATTTTCTTGGGATTTTGTTCCTCTGTATTTCATTATTAGTTTTGGTTTATGTTGTATAAATATGACATATGTCTGACTCCTTTGTATCTACAGGGTCTCACCTACATTTTTAATTTTTTTCTTTAATTTGCCAAGACTGAAGTCTGCTTTGGTCTTGGCCCTTTTTTGGTTAGTCATGAGCTTTTCCCTGTAAACTACCTAAATTGTGGTCATACAAAATGAAGATGCTAAAAAATGTGTCTTCTGCAGGTAAGACATTAACCTAACTTATAACCCAAAGGATAAAGAGATTTTCAGTGGTATGTATACAATTTAATTA